AGGAAGCCCAGGCCAACTTCAGAGAGTTATGATGTGTTGGCAGTGCTTGACAAAGAATGAAGCAGATGAAGAAACACAGCAGGCCTAGCCTTACCTAAGCAACTTGTGGGAAGAGGGAGAACAGACAGACTATGCTTTTTGAAAGAATTTGATGTAGAAGCTCAAGAAATTTGTGTTGATCTGTTCAGACTGGCTTTTCCAGCTAGTAAAAGCTTCACCTCATCCTTTCTAATTTTACCAGACTCTCACTGTGTCAGCTGTCTTTTTTGGTTTTATCAATGATCTCCAAAAACTGACTTGCATTAAGCAATGCAAAGAAGAGACTGAAGAAGAAATCTCCGTGTTTGTAGTTTTCAAAAACAGAGCCCTGATAAAAGACTGTATCAATATTACAAATTACGGAAAGCAGGATTTCTGATAAACACGCTGAAACACGCAAAGTAAAATACAATCAACATAAAACCATTACGGGAGAAATAATAAAATCCACTTCCTATAAGAGAGTCAAAAATCTACACTAGCAGTTCAAATTCTGACTGTTCTTAGTCACTGATGCTTTTACCTGATCACAAACCTTTATACTTGTCGACTAAGAGGGGCACAATCAGACACTAAGCTGCAAACTCACTTGACAAGTGACATCAATTTAAGAAGCCACAAACACAGGAATTTTTTTCTTCTCTTTTAATTGCAAGTTATGTATTACAAGAGAAGTAGAAATGAGGGTCTGAAAAAGAAACAGTGCTCTTCAGTTTACTGTATTTTTTACTTAGTAGTCATTCGTGTAGTTAGCAGCACCATTTTTCAGCTGTTTCGGTCCATATGGGTCAATGAGGCAGCAACAGGAAACGCAAATGCCACTAAACCAGCAGGAACAACAGAAGGAGCAGCGCAAACAGCATTTCAAGTTGTATCTCTATTCAGTGATAAAGGTTGGAAAAAATTTATGGTAACCTGGCAAATTTCTTAACAGCTTCTAAGGTTAGAAGTTCAGGTCAGCCGTTTCAGATGCTCCTTCTAGTGCTTTCTGGCCACTAATCTCTATGCACGCCTTTGGAAGCATTTACTACAGGAATTCTGCACACTGGTATAATGAAGGTAAAAAGGCCAGTCTTGCTCAGATATTCAGTCTCAATCATTTATGAGGACACTTGGGAAAGATTTTGTTACTTAAATACTGTAAAATTAGCTTTGGTTTAGATTC